CCTATTGCAGACAGCTGAAAATCATTTTAAAAAATTTAATTAAATTTTTTTTTTTTAAATGGGCAGGCTCACTTGGGCCAAGGGCTGGCTCGAGCCGATGCACCAAAATGGGGCTTGGACAAAGCCTCGGCGCGGTGTAACCAAGTCAGAGCCAGGCCCGGCTTGGGCTTTTTTCGGGTCGAATCAGAGCCGTCCGAGCAGTCGAGCTTTTTTGCCATCCCTAAGTTCAGTACTATGATCATTATATATGTGTACCAATATAGTACCTAATTTTTCTTGGTAAGAAATTAATATTGAGTCCAAAATTGATTCAAATATGATTAATTAATTGTGATAAAAGCGGGATTGAGCAGATAATCACTCCGGATTGCGGATGAGATGACTAAATACAGATTCAAATTGTGGAGCAAGTCGTCTACTAGCCTCCAAATCCACATGATAAAAACCCAAAATTAAAAATAATTCCAATTTGAGTTCCGATTTAGGAGATTGTGGTACAAGCTATAAACGTCACACATACAATAACTAAAAAATCCATATAATCTAGAGAGAACCTCTTTCGTTTTGGAATGGACCACTCGACTAGAATATTCCAAATAAATTCTTTCTATAATAAATTTCTTTTATTATAGTTTTTATCGACTAATTGAGGACTTCACGTATTATTCCTTCTCATACTGAGTTGAGATCTGCTGTCCAATTTTTACTGTCTAATCAATTCTTTATTGACACATCATTTTGCGAGAAAGAAAATATTTATCAGTGTTAAATAGTTGAACAACAAATCTCAACTCTCCTACCCTACCTGGCTACCTACCAATATTAATAAATAAATTTATTAGCACGGAAAAAGTGATTGTGGGCGAAGTGGAATTTGAATGTGATATCGTTGTTTCCTTGCTGACGTTGTCCACGTCGTCAATAACCATAGTTATCAAGATAATGCACACAACTTTCTTGACTAAGTCACTAAAAATAAATAAATACACAAATAATCACCATGTGATATGTCAATAAGGATTTGATAATAAGTTATTTTCTAAATTAGTCTGCTTAATTTAGTTTATGTTTGTAATTTTACTGATTAATTCATTAATTAAACTGTCATTACCATACAACTTTCTAATTTTCTACATAAGTTGGGATCTGCATTTGCTCTCCATGGAATTTTCAATTTATCATTAGTGCAAAGGAATGTAGCAGACGTACCTTTACTGCGTTAAAAATTTCCTGGGTTCAATCGGTAAATTACATGCACCGTAAATATATTTTCATTTTTGTTTAATCATGTAATTGTGTTTTAATTTTATTCGGTTGGATAATTATACTTTAATTTAATTTCAATTAAGTAACTCTGTCTAATTCATTCACTTAGACTAACGAAAAACGATGACATAATAGTAAATAAATTATGCACATCATTTAATTTAGTGAAATTGTACTTATTTCATGTCTGTAACTAATGATAATGTGTGATAATCAATATTTATTGACTGTCATGCCATTGAATTGGACAAAATCATCTCAATTTAATCATGTCAACGAGCCGAGTCGAGCCGAAACTCAAAACTAGGGCTCGGCTCGAGCAAAAGAGGTCCGAGTTTTTCTAGGACCAAGCCGAGTCGAGCAAAAGCTCGGCCAAAAAAATGAGGCTTGGCCCGAACTTTCGGCTAGAGCCTTAACGGGTCGAGCCGACTCGTGTTTTTTTAAAAATTCGTTATAAATCTATAATTTTTTATAGTGTATTTAAAATTTGTGCAATTTATGTGTGTTATAAATAATAACTAAATAATAATATATAAAAAATACATTTAAACATAATTTTTTTTTTTATTACTTAGTCACGGGACGAGATGAGCCACGAGCTTGAGCCGACGCCCCAAAATGGGGCTTGGCCCGAGCATCGGCTTGGTGGAACTGAGCCCGAGCCGATGAGCTTTTTTGCCATCTTTTTTTTTTTTTAAGTGGAAGGAGGGCAGTACCTCCGAAGTTTTATTAATATGCCATCTCTTGTGGCGGAGGAATACCGTGGTTACAACTGAAAAGAAACGAAGAAGGAAAAGGGGAAGTACTACTTCCCTTACAACAGAAATAAAGTAAAGCAGTAAACAGGAAGTGCTACTTCCCTTACAATATTA